TCTCGTGGTGTCTGTGGTGGCCAAAATGGACGTGTTGTTACTTCGATCCGAGTATTGTATCATCTTTAATTTTTCGAAGTTTCTACAAAGTTTAATATTTTATTTATATTATTCCATTTACTTTTTTATGCGGTTACACTGAAACTTTGGACTTGGTTGCTATATATCGAAGGAGACGAGACTAGCATAAAGATCTTCGAGACATATCGAGATCATCGATACATATTACATATGGCGGCGCCCAGGAGATAAATGTTCAATATGTGTTCAATCAGTACAGTGTTGATGCATTATGTTATAATGGCACTGTTGACATATCGTTGACACGTCGAAGTCGACACGAAGCCGACATCGGTTTTTCCATTTATCACGGCCGCTTATCGCCCTCGTGAGTCGTTGACTCACAAGTGCTCGAAAACCGAGACCGGTGTCCGAACGTTCGTTATTCAACGTTTCAATGATGAATACCGAAGACGAAATGTTGAGGTCGTCAATCCCGATATACGTGAACGCGATGATGTCCGTGTGCGCGTTCGGCTTGACCGTACACCTGATTCCGAGGATAAAATCCATGTTTGTCCAAGCTAACCTCTACGGTGTCGACATGAGTAAGAGGTGCAGTGGAAAAATGTGAGTGAGGATACCTGGACTTAATATCGTTTAAGCTTCACCGAGCTAATTGACTCCACGATATATACATTTGTTAATTTTAATATTGAAGCACGTAATCTTTTCGGTTTTTATTTCGTGGAGTTGATCAGTTCGCCTTTCCAGAGGCTCATTTGAATATGAAACATTTCATTGTTTTCATATGTTTTTCTATCGATCGTTCTGTATGTAACAATGCTTGACACACAACCAAGTGTATTTTTACAGACCGGAGGCGATAGGTGTTGTCACTGGATGTATATTTCTTATAACAATGTTCCTATTTATTCCTGTACCATTTACTGATTGTCTATTTAGGAATGTAAACTTTCCACACAATGAGGTACAGTACAGATGTCAGTCAGAAAATGTATCTAATTTCCTTCTTTTCAATTCTAATTGTAGAAAATTAAACTAAGGCTGCTTCTCTTTTAGGAAATACAGTTGTTAACATAAATATTGTTTTATCTTTGTTATTCATTGAATATGTCAAGGAGGATAGAATAATGTTTGTATCATTTTCTAAAAGGAAAGCAGCCTCCCAAGATTAATCAATAACTTTGGAAATGACTTATATTTTGAGTTATATTTAATCTAAAAATATAAGACATAAAATATGATATTCTATATTATTCTCTAATTTTAAACCACATAGATTTGTAACCAATGTAAAGCACAAGCTTTTTATTACAGTTTGTTGATTTTCTGGCTGCATTGTTGTCCATATGTTGCATGCTACTCTTGGGCTTTGCCGATGATGTTTTGGATCTTCGTTGGCGGCATAAATTACTTCTGCCAACTATAGCATCTTTGCCATTACTGATGGTTTATTATGTCAACTTTAACTCCACAATAATCATCGTACCAAAGCCGCTGAGATCATGGTTTGGTTTCTCGGTGGATTTATGGATTTTTTACTATGTATATATGGGAATGTTAGCAGTGTTTTGTACAAACGCTATAAATATATTAGCCGGGATAAACGGTTTAGAGGTTGGGCAAAGTTTAATCATTGCCACAAGTATTCTCATCTTTAACATTATCGAATTATTTGGCAGTCAATGGAAAGCGCACCAGTTTTCAATATATTTTATGCTGCCTTATATAGCAACTTCCCTTGCATTACTCAAATTTAATTGGTAAGTTAAACTAAAAAGTATTTTTATTCTCTAAAATATTACTAATAATAACAATTATATTATGATAACGTATGATATAAAAAAAGGAATATTTGGATAAGGGGAATTTCAAATTGCCAGGCATATAAGTTGTACGTATAAACCATTTAACATTTATATTTTGTCAACGTAATATTTTAGTGTATAAATTTAGTATAATATTACATTAGTGTACATTGAGTATTGAGTATGAGTTAATATCACAGTCGGGTGCGACCAGTACGTCAGTAGTAATCTAGTTTAGCGTAAAAATTCTCTACCAACCAGTCGTACTTCCACGTGTTATTGAGAATCGTTTCTGGCGCGAAGTAGGAATCCCTAGACTTGGAGACTCTCAGAAGATTGGTTTTACCGTCTAACCACAGTCCGCTACCTATTAGGTCCTCTACAAACGGCACGTCGATAGTCTTCTCGATATAAATCTCCTTAGACTGAACTTTATTACGAAGATCGATAATAATATTTGCGGGCGCCTGGCACAGATTACAGTACCACCCGCCGTAATGATTCAAATCTCCTATGACTAATCCCAAAATATCTCTCTCGCTGGTGTCTCCATCCAACTGTTGTCGCAATACAAGCGAGTTGGATTGATAGGCATCGCGCATCAAACCGACGGTGTATGCGCCAAGTGTGATCGTTGTCTTGAGTGGATGCTGCCAAAAGAAGCCGTATATTGACCATCTTGATCTAAATCCGATAGGCTGAGGCCAACCGTCATAAACTTTGAGGAACATTAATGCCCTGGAGTTCAGTATCTGCTCCGGCTCCGTTGTCACGTAGATGTCGTCGTCCTTTAGATTCTGCACCACAGTCTTGATTTTATCCCAGACGTATCTCGATACTGTCCGGGATGGTTTGTGGGACTTGGTCGCCACGTTGAGGTACAGAATCTTCTTTTGCTCCCGCTGTAACAGTCCTTTGGACAGTTTGTGCCGGAAATTATCCTCCGCGTTATTGAAATCACAAATTACAAAAAGGTCCACCACGCTGTAAAGTTCCTCCACTATCACCTCGGCGATCGCCGAGTTGTAGTCGCTTATAAAAAAGGTATGAATAATGTGCCTGGCAGTTTTGCGACGTTTCAGGCTAACGTTCTGCTTCGACGCCATGATTGCCCTCCACACGACTTCTGGTTGTCCGCAATCCAAACCATGCCATCCTTGATTGCAGATACATCTTTCCAGATGCTCATTGCTTTTCATTTTACGCTGGTCCACTCCATATTTCCAGCATACGGTATGATTGTATACTTCAAACAGCCTAAACGTCTTGACATCTTTCAACGCTACCTCCCCATTGATTGTCTGGTAGATTGGTGACTTTTTATGATTGCCCTGATTTACGTGCAGTTCCTTTAATTAAAAAAAAATTAGTTTTAAAGTATTTCGACTAAATACATCGGTTTACATGGTGAATCACAAATTCGCAGCACCTGCGATGCCTCAAACTTGACGAAACTGACGGATGCACGAGTCGTAGATGCAGCTAGCTCGGGCGGCGGAGTTGTGGCGACATAGATCATAACAATCAGAACTTGCAAGACCAATAGAGTATACAGCAACGCCAGCTTCCCATCTAGACGGACCTGCATGGCACCGATCCCTGCGCTCAGATAGTTCAATTTCTCATCTTACGTTCCCGAAGAGAAATCTTGCTAGCTGTCTGAGACATCTTCGTTGAAATTACAGTCTATTACATTAGTATTATCTGAAAACATAATCAGTAACTTAAATTTATATTTTTATCAATTTTCGATTTTTTGTTTGTTTGTTAAAGAGATCCACAATATTCTACACCGTGCATTTCTACTTAAAACCCACTCTAGACAATCTATAACTCGTTTTAGAATACAGGATGAAATTCTATTTATAATTTTATATGCTGTGCAAAGAACAATTGAAGAATGAGAATGCATACGCATATATATATAAAATATATATTACATACGTATATACTATATATTACAGTACATACGTACATATCAAAGAAGAAATTTATCCTGAAACTCACGGATTATAGATCGTCTCTTTTTTTATATATATATATATATATCTCCCTGATTTATCATTCATACGATATTCTTTTCAGTCATGCTAACTAAGCGGCATCGTCGCCGACAGCCGATCCGCTGCATTGCAGGGAACGTATACCGTCCGCCAATTGGATTCCGCGTGAGTTAAACGTCCCGGCAGCCTCCGCCCCGCACGCGTGTCATTGCCCACAACTATATTACATGATAAAGCGTCGCTCACAATGCGATTCGACGACGACGACGACGCCTTCGATGATGATCTCACCAGATGACGGTATGGTGACGTCACCGCGGCGCAACGTGCCATTTAACTCGCTGTGCCGGTTGATCGCCGGATACGCCGATCCTGACGGTTTCGTCGGCAATTACACGATGATCGGCGATTATAGGATGATCGGCGACCGGCAACGCACCACACCGCGCATACTTCTAGTCTCGTCGATAGTCGCTGCCTGACTCAGGCTGACTGGCTGCAACGGGGGGGAATGGGAGAGAAGGGCACCCCCCAAGATCCAGGTGCACCTTCTGTCTCTCCCCCCGGCCGGGTAACGGCGCGTACCGCGACGACGTGAAAAACCACGCCCGAGCGCAGCAGCCGACGATTCCGCCCGTCGTACTCGTCGACGAACACACACTCGCCGATCGTGACTATTCGCAGAGCGCACGCGTCTTATGCCGGCGTCAAACTGTATCTACGTGCCACCCCTTCGTCCCGCATTGCAATGCATGAGTAATCCGTTCTGCGGACGAGGCGGACCCGCCCATAAGTCAGAAACTGGATCATTAATTCTAGAATTAGCCAGCTCGAGGAAAAGGAGCGGCTCTCTCTTCGCAGTTAGAAACGATTCCCGAGCTCCACGTGTTTATAGTCATCATGATACCCCCTCACAGTTAGAGCAATGGCGCTCGATTTGGTAATTTCCTTTTGGAGCAATGCCTCGCATGTGTTTCGCTGTGTGCGCGTAAATATATATATATATATATATATATGTGTGTGTGGGTGTGTAAAAATCTATAAATTTATAAATTAATATATTTAATTATAAATTATGTACATATTTAATTTATAATATGTATGAATTTATATAATTTATTAAACTTTACGTTGAAATAAAAAAATAATGATGCTTTGTTCAAGGTACCCATCGCAGGTTTTCGTAGGCGACACGTTTTGTTATCTGTCGGGAATGACTTTCGCTGTCGTCGGTATCATAGGCCGCTTCAGCAAGACGACTTTATTGTTTTTCATTCCGCAAATAATCAATTTTCTGTATAGCATACCGCAGCTATTCCATCTTGTATCGTGTCCTAGGCATAGATTACCAAAGTGAGTTTGAAAAATAAAAAATAATTATATTAGAAAATCTCATCGAAAGATCTACTCATAACATGATTTTATTCGCAGATACAATGAAAAGATGGACAAATTGGAGCCTAGTAGAACTGTGTTCTACAAATCAGACCTTGGCACACTTGGTATGATAGTATAGTTTATCTTATAAAGAAAAAAACTATATGTATTGTTTAGAATTATATTTTATCTTATTAGGGAAGCTATCAATATGGATATTTCGAAAATGTAAATTAATAAAATGGGAAGAAGACTCGGAAGGCTTTGTGACTTGCAATAATCTAACTTTGATTAATTTTATATTGATCAAGACTGGTCCATTGAGAGAACCAAAACTTACGTCCATTTTACTGATAATTCAGGTAATTAAAAAATATATATATTCAATAATTTAAAGTATATTATATTAATATTTTTCAGATTATCAGTAGTATGTTGGCATTTGTTATAAGATATCCTTTGGCTTCCATATTTTACGATGTTTAAATAAATACAAGAATGTTGAAATATATTATAGTTGTATAAAAGTCTTGAATTTATTATTATTAGCGTGTAATCATAATTCCTCTATTTCTTTTATTTCTTTCATAAAATACCAAAATTGCATTATAAATTTTAAGTCATCATTTTTTTATTATTTTAAATGTCATAAATATAAATATTTATTCTATTAATATATTTTTTATTTTTCGTATACAAGATGAAGTAAGGAATAATAATAGAATACCTTCTGTATAAGTTTCTATTATATAAACTTTGTACACAACTTGATTAAAAACAATTGCATAAAAAGATAATTTTTATCAAATTCCAATAATAGGGTATTTATAAAATACTGTAAGCAAAAATAATATTGATAAATATTTCATTCGTTAAAAATTACAAGATTTGTAAATATCATAAAATTATTTAAATGATTACACAACAAATTTTAATATTTGCATAAGCACATGATCTTACGAAGTAAAACTTGAGCAATTCTAAATAGTTACAAACTTCACTTGCCTAACAAATACTTTAAAGCTTTAATAATCTACAATAACTAGTGCATTACGTCACTAACTTTTTTTTGTCGTAGATCAAATGCTAATAGATCCAATATATCAAAGTTAATTCTTAAAGTGTTGTATAAACTTAAAATTAAGTTGAAACTGTTTTAATATAAAATAATGCAATGCAATAAAAAAAATTGCGTATTGCAGTTTTGGGGATACCCTGTATGTATCGTGTTTAAGATTGATGTGCTAACATAAAATTTTAATTCTTTAATAACAGTGATTTTTTATTTTTAATTTCTTCATAATTTAAAACATGGAATTCGGAACAAATCGAGACGACGAACGAATGACGTCCATACCTAATCGATTCTTTATATTAAGTTGTGCTTTTGCAGCATCTCTCAAGCTGTATATGTGTGTCAATTCCATGAATGTACGACATAATACTAAAGCCTTGTCAAATAATCTTATTGCTTCCTCTATATTTCCTCTGAAAAAAAACGGATTTAGAATATTTTCGAACGTCTTTAGTATTTTTAAATAATACATAGTGTAAGTCACATGTGTGATTGTAACTGGTTCATTTTGAAAATTTCAACACATAATAATTATTAGAAACCATACATACCTTTGTACTTCAATACTTCCTAATGATTCATATGCAAGCTCGCATTTCTCATCCAATTCTAACGCTTTATGTATGTATTCCACAGTTTTATCAACATTACCGTTCCATTGTAATTGCAGTAAGCCTCTGTGCACATAAACAGTTGCATTATCCGGGTCTTGCTCTAATGCTTTAGCATAATAAGTATCAGCCTTTTCAAACTGTTGAGTTTCGGACATCATCTACGATAATTGAAAATTCCATCAATGAACCAAAATGTGTACAACACAATGATAACAATTTATAACTCACTTTTCTTTAATTCCAATTGTTTTTCTTAAGAAATATTATAAATAGTTGTACGTACCTGAGCATACGATATATAACAATATATACATTCAGGAGGATTTGGATATTTTTCCAAAGCTCTCTCAAAGTCTTTCACAGCCACTTCGGCTAATCCTATATCTCTATTGAACACTGCAAAACGATAATCCGTGTAACATTTTTGCGCGTATGCTATGCCGAAATTTGGATTGTACTCAACAGCCTTTTCAAAATCGCGTTTAGCTTCATCTATTCTGCCCATGAGCAAATTTACCTGCAAATAACAAAAAATAGTATTGTTATGTTATTTTATAATCCTGACTTTGCATTATTCGCAAGTCGATCGCAAGCTTGTTAATTTAAAAATTGACATTTCAGACTGGCTGTCGCAATAAATTTGCAATTGACTTGCGACTAATATATAGACCCAGGGTTATATATATATATATAACAAGAAAAATATGCTGAATTATGACGTGTAATACCTGTCCTCTATGATGATAGATATCACTGTAACTTGGATTTATACTAATGGCTAATTCAAAGTCCTTGAAAGTCATATCTGGATTATCAAGTTGCATGTATAAGGCCGCTCTTTTTATCAGGGCATTTATCCTCACGTCATCGGATGCATCTTTGCTGTTCAATATATTTTCAAAATCTTTGATTGTAGCATCGTGCTCGCCCAAAAGTAAGTAAAATGTAGCTCGTAATAATAACACCTCTAATCTAGATGAAGGTAACATATCAAATTCGGGATTTTTTATGATTTCCGTGCATAGCGGTATTATATCGTCGTACTCCATATTTTTTACCGCTTGCAATGGTTTCTTGAAAAATCTGATAACAAATATTACATTTATTAAAAAGTTAACACCACAATTATCAGAAATAGTCTTCTACTTACTCTGGAATATTTTCTGGATGTTCAAGTCTAGAAAATACTGGATCCTTGGGAAAAGATATAATGTATGTTTTGATAAAATGCTTACTTGGCATTACAAATTTTTTGTTTGCCAAATTTTCCTGGGCATGTTGTCTCCCTGAAAATAATTTTTATTTTCAATGACTAAACTTGTCTGTTCCTATTTCTAGTTCTACAAAAGTTCAAGCAGCATTTTATTTAATACCAAGTACTTTTTTTAATGTATAACTCACCGAGCTTTTCCAAAACCTTATCTGCCGTTGAGAGGGAACTTTGATTAGAAAATCCTTCATAAATACACGAGGTAGTTACATCCTCCAGGGCGGCTTCCAACTCCCCTGTTTGCTCCAAAGCACGTGCTCGACGTAACAAAGCTTTGGCATATTTTGGATTTAGTTCTAACGCTTTTGTACAGTCTGCCTTTACAGCACTATATTTTTTCTGTAAATTACAATTACAATTGTGTAAACAGTGAAACTTATATAAATTTTAACAATAAATTGAAGTAAAATTTTCACATGTTTATTATTACTATTAATTTTATTACCAATTGCTCATACGCAGCTGCTCTATTTTGATAAAATGTTGCAAGGTCCTCTATGTTTTCTGTTGGACAAATGTCGATTGCTTTATTATACCGAGCAATAGCTTCATCATATTTTCCAGTTTTGAACTCTACATTTCCTGCATTCTTATATTTCTGTGCCTTTTGTAAAGGAGTCTAAAACAAAAGAATTTACTTGAGTCAGTCACAAAAAGCATTTTATTTTTTACATTAATTCAAAAAATATATGCCACTATAGATACTACGATTTTATTAAAGTTCTGAGAAATGGATAAATATATACTGAGAAAGTCTCGATTGATCAAGAAAGTCCATTTATCATGTGCAAACTACACATTACATTACAATCTCATTGCCATAAGGTTCAATAAAGCATGCAGACAATATTGTTTACTGAAAATTATCACTCATGATAATATGTCATTTTGACATATTTATGGTATAATTATAGCTGATACATGGATAGTACATAAATTTATCATTCTGTTTCTTAGAAACTAAGGAGCAGAACCAATAATGATGTTGATAAGCATTAAATACCCTCTTTTTTTTAAATTTTGGATAAATGGATTTTCGTAATCTTTCGAACGCTTCCAGATAAAGCAGACGGTTTTAACCTCAGCCGCGGGAGAAGGCACTTTGGGTGGACAATCGCCGTCGATGGAGATCTGCTTGTCGGCGGGCGCGCCGTTCTCCTTGGCCGCGCCGCTCCTGAACTTGTCGCGTTCCGGCTTGTCAACGTTATTGCTATTCCTGTTCTTGTAGTACATGTAGCCGAGGCCGAGGGCAACCGGTGCTCCAACCACCAAGGCGAGCTGCCATTTCGGCAGCGGGCTGCTGCCTGCCACGCCGCTCGAGGCGGTCATTCCTTCAACCAGGAATTGTTAGCCGCACACGAACGGTCACGACGTGACACCCGGCACTATCGGGATCGCGATGAGGAGACTAGATCGTGAATCTCTCACCGACCGCGAGCTGCGAGAACACGAGGGAACACGTGGTCCAAGCGACGATCATGCGGATGCCACTCGCCACTATCCCTCGAACTCGATCACGTTTACGTTGCGGACGTTGGAACGATCCTCTCGACCGTCCTCGTCCTCACTTGTCCTTCTTGGTCCGCTCGATTCTCCTCAATCGGCTCGATCCTCCTCGGTGTTTCTCGGCACCGAGTGCACCGACGATTATCGCGATACACGGCGGTCACGTGAACTTGAAAGATTTCTTACAATAGCGCCCTCTTAGTCGAAGAACCAACTTTAAAGAATAGCGACTTCGACTTTGATTAGCTTTTATTGCATATTAATTTATCGAGCAAATATTATTTTATTACATTTTGTGGAAGACAGGTCTTTTTACATCTTATGAATAGAATAATTAATCTTACTCAATACATGGAAAGAAAGCGTCACAATTAGAAATGACAGGTTATATTAAATAATAATATTAAAATAAAAAAATGATAATTATTTAGAATACGGGGCCTCACCTCCGATTTTGATTAAATTGGATACGTAAGATCTGTTCTTTTTCGAAGAATTCTGAACTAGTTCTGAAATAGCGCAAAAGTTTTTGCACTATAGTGTACTCCAATTCAGAATTTGAATTTAAAAATGAGAGCACTGCTTTAAAAACAAAAATTCACTGCTTTAAAAATACATCAAGATTACTGCTCTAAAAATACAAATTCACTGCGTTAAAAACACAAAAGCACTGCTTTAAAAACACAAATTCACTGCTAATGCAAAGAATTTATAAAGCAGTAATCTTGTATTTTTAAAGCAGTAATCTTGTATTTTTAAAGCAGTGAATTTTTGTTTTTAAAGCAGTGAATTTTTTGTTTTTAAAGAGCAGTAATCTTGTATTTTTAAAGCAGTGAATTGTTTTTAAAACAGTGAATTTATGTTTATAAAGCAGTGCTTTGGTGTGTTTAAAGCAGTGATTTTGTGTTTTTAAAGCAGTAAATATATGTATAATATTGCATAAATTTTTAAAGCAGAGAATATATAGGTTATTTAAAATGTATACCTTTTTAATTTTTTTTATATGGATTAAAATTTAAATCCAACATTTCGTGGAAATAAACGCTGTAACTATATACACTGTTGTAAAGCTGCTTTCTGTGCTGAACGCAGCCAATTATAATCAAATTACAATCTGCAGAGTAGTATTTTATCTGTTTACAGAATACACGCGCGACCACAGCGCATGTTCATTTTCAAAACATAGGTCACGTTCAGTAGATTGAACCTTTGCGGAACGAATCTGTACACGCTCGTTGTTATTGGTGTATTCTTCTAGACCTGTCTAAATCACTAACCAATAGTAGCGAATTCTCACAGATCCACTCTGCACAGTTGAGTCGAGTTGAGTTTGAAGAACACGACCATTTAGTTAGAATTGACAGGTATCTTAACTTCTAAAATTTCGAACTTTAACGCTTGATATCTTGATTCACGAGACCGACCGCCGCATTTTTTTTCCAGACTCTTTCATTATGAGTGAAAACGCGTCGAATGAGCCCAATTTAATCAAAATCGGAGGTGAGGCCCCGTATTCTAAATAATTACCTCATTTTGTTACATTTTGTGGAAGATAGGTCTTTTTACATCTTATGAATAGAATAATTAATCTTACTCAATACATGGAAAGAAAGCGTCACAATTAGAAATGACAGGTTATATTAAATAATAACATTAAAATAAAAAAATAAACATTAAATAAATAATAAAGCAAGATAAAATAAATACGTAAATAATAACACTAAAATCCTTTTTAAATAATTTTTAAGATTCGCGCCGCGTTTTCCGCGCGTGCGCGGAACACGCCGAAAAGATGGCGGCAGTCTGTCAACAGCAGCTACGTTCATACGGTTCCTACGTTTTATCGGCTGTCATGCCGTCGGAATCAAAGCTCGCGCGACATGAAAGCCCTTGCTCTCGTCCGCACTAGATTCCCGAGAAATGTTGAGCGATTGAAGGCGTACTCGTAAACCTTTTTAACGGACGTTGGATCCCCGTTTGTTCGCGTTCGTCTCGGGACGTCGCTGTCTGATTCGGACGACGTTCGTCTGGTTCGTCGCGATCAGTCGCGATGGCTCTACAGGAGGACGAGAACACCTGGTAAGCCGTGATCGCGATTTCACTTGTCGAAAAATAACGCGTCTCCTTGAAAACGAGAACACCGAACTTTGCAATCGCCGCGATAACGTGCCAAATTTTTTTCGACCCGTATGACCCGTGACACGTTTTACAATGTGAAGCTCGTAAAACAGAGAATTACATTGTTGCATGCATATAGCATGCGACAAAGCGCAGTAGAAAATATTTTATTAGCGAAACTACGCGACTTACGTAATATCATTTCGAATATTTTGCTAATTAACATGCTAATTAATGTGATATGTTTGTATAGATTGTAGATGGAAATTTTTGAAAGATATAGTCAAGTTTGCTTGTAGTCTCAATTTATATAGTTTTAAATGCGAATAACAGTTTTTGTCATTTTTATTAATTCCAAATTAATTGTTATTTTAGGGTATTGGAATTGGAAGCAGCATTGCTGGATACAGAAGCACCGTCTGCTTCTGATATATATGCCATTTGTAAAGGCCAACCAGTCCCTGTAAATTTAAGACCAGATGTCTGGTTGGCTTGCCTTTATGTTACTGATCGAGGTGATCAATTTAGCCAGTTTAATGAAGTTTATGATTTACCAGAACAAAATATAATTCGTGATGACTGTCAGCAGTTGGTCGGTGAGTAAGTGAAAAGCTACATATGTAGTCTCATTTATATTTACTAACTACTGTTAAACATTACAGCAAAACTTGGGAATGATGATGAAGATAAAGTTTCTGTAGTTTCGGATCTTGAATCTATACTAACATTTTATTGTAAAAGTAAATGTAAACAATATGAAAAAGGAAATGGATGGCTAGAATTATTAGGTCCTTTAATAGCTTTAAAATTACCACGTGCTGCAACTTATAATCTCTTTGAAGCAATAAGAGATATCTATATTCCAAGGTAAAAAATAATTATCTTTTTGTTACTAAATAAATATTTTTTATTGATGTTAATGTAAAATCGATTATTCATAATCGCAAATTTTGTAATAATGTGTTTACTATTCTTTTTAGAGGTGAAACATATAGCTCAGTCTTAAGATTACTGCTCCTCTATCATGAGCCAGAACTGTGCTCCTTCTTGGACACAAAGAGGATATCACCTGATCAATATACGAAAGTATGGATGAATACCCTTTTCGCTGGTGTCTGTTCATTACCAGCTGTCTGTACAATGTGGGATCTGTACTTTATGCAAGCTGATCCATTTTTCATGCTGTTTCTCTCACTAATTATGGTTATAAATTCTAGGTAAATATTGATTAAATTAATTTAGGTATCGTATATTTGTTGTTACATTGTTTAAAGTAATTCTTATCTTTATAGAGAGCAAATTTTGAACATGAAGGACGAAGACAAGCAAAGTATAATAGATGCAATAGCAGTAATGCCTTGTGCTGTGGAAGCAGAGGATGTAACCGATTTCTGTTCCTTGGCACAGTATTACGCAATGAAAACACCAACATCTTTTAAACAAGACTTGTATCCCGTAATGTTTGGTGAAAGTTCTGAAGAAAAGCTAATCTCTCACGCACTATGTTTACCCGTATCGGCACAAGAATTAGTAGAGAATGCTATCGAAACTCCATCTTTACCTAATAGCACTGTTGAAGCTGTTAGATTTTTTCTCGTAGATTGTAGACCTGCCGAACAATACAACGCAGGTCACTTACCAACGGCGTTTCATCTCGATTGCAACTTGGTAAGTTATCAATAAAATAAAAGTAATCAATAAAAAAATGTTTTAAATATGTATTAAGTTTACGTAGTTTAAAATTTATTAAAATTATGATTTTTATATTGCTTTATATATCAATTTTGATGGAAAGGAAAGATCAAATACATGTTTCTATCTTTTTAGATGCTGCAAGAACCTGCCGCGTTTGCTACAGCGGTACAAGGCTTACTACAAGCTCAGCGTCAAGCATTAGCTGTTGGTTCACAAGCTGGTGGAGAACATCTTTGCTTTCTGGGAAGTGGTAGACAAGAGGAAGATCGCTACACGCATATGGTAGTAGCATCCTTTTTACAAAAACATACACATTACGTGAGCATGGTTACTTCTGGATATCAAGGTATTTATTTTCTATTTTTTAGTATGTTTCAATGAAGATAAATTATATTCTTTTCATTTAATTATGATTTTATTTTCAGCCATTCATGAATACTTCGGCGATGAAGTGGTATCAAGTCTTGTTGATCATAATTCACAATATTGTCTAGTATGTAATGCTAATATGTTAGAAGAAAATTCAAACGAAGCAAGCCCTGTTAAAGTTAAAAATAATAATTCTGATCTCTTGGGCAAGATCGGATTAGCCATGAAGTTAAAGAGTCAAGAAGTAAAAGGAAAGTTATTCGATTATATTGTTAATCCTACAGCAAATGTTAATAGTAATACAGAAAAGAGAGACAGTAAAGACTTGGACTATATTAGACGTCAAAGAAAGACCGCGCCTGTGTTTAGTATAGATGATGATCAAGAGATAGGTAATTGAATTCTCCTAATTATCCTTATGTAATTGTTAACTGTTTTATCAAAGATACACTAATCTAATCTTTTCTAGATATGACAATGACTAATAATGAAAGTGAAGAGCCTATCGAAGTAGTATCAATACAACAATGGATGAAAGATCCCAAGTTATTACATTCCTTTAAATGCCAAGAAGTGAAAGTTAATGGCGATCTCTGTGATAGGTGAGCTTATAAGAAAAAGGGATTTTCTTTCGTATATGTAAAGTCATTCATGTGTGTATATTGTTTTTTTGTTTTAGTCAACTATTGGTTACCGATAGTCATCTTATAGTACTGCGAGAAATCCCGGAACGAAAGGGCGCCGCGCACGTAATTGTGAAACGTCCCTTAACGAGTATCGTCAAAATAACGTCGAGAAAGCGGCACGCCGATTTAATAACGTTTAAATATGGTACGACGCAATATAACGATACGGTTATTTCTGATATGGATAAGTTTCTTATACCTAACGCGAGTGAAGCGACTA